CAGCAGCAATGGGAGGCCGTACAGGGACCCATGACACACTCTGGACCTGGGCAGCAGCATGAGGAGGCGGTACAGGGGCCCATGACAGATTACGGGCCTGGCAGCACAGCATGAGGAGTCGGTACGGGGGCCCTGGCAGATTACGGGCCTTGGCAGCAGCATGAGGAGGCGGTACAGGGGCCCATAGCAGAGTGGCGGAGCGTAAGCAGCTAAAATTGAAGGCCATACAGAGGCCTATGTTAAAAAGTCCCCCCAGCAGCAGCGTGGGGAGACGACTATCAAGAGTCCAATGGCAGAGTGGCGGAGCAGAAGCAGCTTCAATTGAAGGCCATACACAGGCCTAGGTTTAAAAGTCCCTCACAGTTAATTCCAATAACGAACTCTACTCCTCCGTGCAATCTACTTACGAGACCCTGGGCAGGTCTGGGTCCAATTTGTGGTAGAGACTGGTTTTGTTCAGCCATGCTTGAGCGAGTAAAAACAGGTCTGTGCTGCCCTTTGTGTCCCTGGCTTAATGCGCACAACACACTGAACGTCCCAGCGATTGTCAACGATTTGCCGTTAAGTGATGCAAACCCGCTGAAACCACGTTCATGAGGAGCCGGTACAGGGGGGCCATGAATCAGTATGGACCTGGCAGCAGCGTGAGCAGACGACAGAGGCACATGGCGCAGGGTGGGCCTGGTGTAGGCAGCATTATTCTGAAGCCATACACAGGCCTAGGTTAAAAAGCGGAAAGCCGTCAGCAGCGTGAGCAGACGACAGAGACACATGGCGCAGGGTGGCGGTGGATGCAGCAGTATTTCGGAAGCCAAACACAGGCCTCGGTTTAAAAAGCGGAAGCCGTCAGCAGCGTGAACAGACGACAGAGGCACATGGCGCAGGGTGGCGGTGGAGGCAGCAGCAATGGAAGGCCATACAGCACCCTATCACAAAATGGAACCTACCAACAGTGTAAGGAGACCTGAAAGTGGCACATGGCAGAGTCTGGCGATGAAAGTCAGCAGCAATGGAGGCCGTACAGGGACCCATGACACACTCTGGACCTGGCAGCAGCAAGAGGAGGTGGTACAGGGGTCCATGGCAGAGTGGCGAAGCGTAAGCAGCTTAAATTGAAGGCCATACAGAGGCCTATGTTAAAAGTCCCCCCCCAGCAGCAGTGTGGGGAGCACGACTATCAAGAGTCCAATGGCAGAGTGGCGGAGCAGAAGCAGCTTCAATTGAAGGCCATACACAGGCCTAGGTTAAAAAGTCCCCCCAGCAGCAGCGTGGGGAGACGACTATCAAGAGTCCAATGGCAGAGTGGCGGAGCGGAAGCAGCTTCAATTGAAGGCCATACACAGGCCTAGGTTAAAAAGTCCCCCCAGCAGCAGTGTGGGGAGACGACTATCAAGAGTCCAATGGCTGAGTGGCGATCCGGGAAGTCAGCGTTGTGATTGCAGATGCAATGCAGAGATTCTATGAGGTGATGCCGTGGGTGCGAAGAAGATCATATACCGTCGTACTTCCATCCATAAGACGGAACAACCTGCGAACCGGGAGCTTTATTGCCCTGACCCGCTGAGCAGCTTCTGGGATACCCAAGAGGCCCATGGCAGAGTGGCGGAGCGTAAGCAGCTTCAATTAAAGGCCATAGGCCTATGTTTAAAAAGTCCCCCCAAAGCAGCGTGGGGAGACGACTATCAAGAGTCCAATGGCTGAGTGGCGGAGCGGAAGCAGCTTCAATTGAAGGCCATACACAGGCCTAGGTTAAAAAGTCCCCCCAGCAGCAGTGTGGGGAGACGACTATCAAGAGTCCAATGGCTGGAGTGGCGATCGGGGAAGTCAGCGTTTGTGATTGCAGATGCAATGCAGAGATTCTATGAGGTGATGCCGTTTGGGGTGCGAAGAAGATCATATACTACGTCGTACTTCCATCCATAAGACGGAACAACCTGCGAACCGGGAGCTTTATTGCCCTGACCCCTGAGCAGCTTCTGGGATACCCAAGAGTTGGCTTCTGTGGGGAATATGGTTGAAAACTGAAACTTATGTTGACGGAAGGGCACCAGTGTCTTCCGGAGGGAATATAGCTTCAAAGCTGACACTTAAAGGTATATCGACGGTCAGAGACCACAGGAAGTGGAGCTTGCGTCTTAAATCGACTGAATGTGGCAGACGTGAAACGTCTACGGGCCGTATATGAAACGGGTTGTTCCTCTTTCTGGAATAAGTGTTGGAAATGGCCACTCTTTTTGGTGTGGCGTTTTGTCTATTTAATTCCGATACGGACTCTACTCCTCCGTGCAATCTAGTTACGAGACCCTGGGCAGGTCTGGGTCCAATTTGTGGTAGAGACTGGTTTTGTTCAGCCATGCTTGAGCGAGTAATAACAGGTCTGTGCTGCCCTTTGGTGTCTGGCTTAATGCGCACAACACTGAACGTCCCAGCATTTGTCAACGATTTGCCGTTAAGTGATGCAAACCCGCTGAACCACGTTCATGAGGAGCCGGTACAGGGGGCCATGAATCAGTATGGACAGTGGGGCTGAGCCCACAGCATGCGATACTTCGCTTGTGAGGGAACACCAAAGGACAGGGGCAGGTCGAGGACACGTGATTTCAGTGGGCTTGCTCCCGGGCCATGCCAACTAACGGTTGTGTCTGACGTACCCACCGACCGTTGGCTGTAGGTGTCAGAGGTGACCTGGGAAGAGGAAGACGACCGAGTCAACCAATCGATGACGGCAGGGTTGTCGGTGGAGACACGACCGCTGGATGACACCGGGAGCACTGGCCTCTGGCTGCGACTAGTGCGCCTCGACCCCTTCCTCTGCTGCCACGTCTGCTCGCTCCTGAAACATTGCCTCCTCTGCCACTCCTCTGCGTGTTGTCTGACATACTCTTTAATTCAATAAGCACCCCAAAAATAAAACCGGATTTAACTCTTTGAACGTACAATAGTGGTTGTGAAGAAGAAAGTCAGTTTATTTAGCACAATCGGTCAATTGCAGCTTGCTGTTGGCTGGAAACTGTACGTTTATGTCACTGGAATGCACTAATCACCCAAAAAATATTACCGCCACCCGGCGTGTAAATGGATCTAACTCTTTGAACGTACAATAGTGGTTGTGAAGCAGAAAGTCAGTTTATTGTACACAATCGGTCAATTGCAGCTTGCCGTTGGCTGGAAACTGTACGTTTGTGTCACTGGAATGCACTAATCACCCAAAAAATATTACCGCCAGCCGGCGTGTAAATGGATTTAACTCTTTGAACGTACAATAGTGGTTGTGAAGCAGAAAGTCAGTTTATTTTGCACAATCGGCAAACTGCAGCACCAACTGTGCACGACAGCCACCAAAAAAAAAAAGGGTGTATGTCACTTTAAATTTTCGATTCTTTGATAGCTGTGGCCCTAAGTAACGATTCTGTGTCCCTGAGTAACGATTCTGTGTCCCTGAGTAACGATTCTGTGTCCCTGAGTAACGATTCTGTGGCCCTAAAGTCTCTGTGGCCCTAACTCTATCCCTTAATACACACAGGTCTGTCTCTCTTGAATGACCGGAGGCTAATGGAGAATTCTAAGATGGCCGCGATTTATAGCTCCACCATTACACAGTGCTGGCTGGCTGCTGATTGGCTAATGCGATCACATGTCATGAATGCATTATGGGTCAGCGCGCCTTGTCTGCGTGCCTTCCCAGAGATCCCCGCCCCATCTTCTCTGTCCATTTTCTCCGTCGCCACACATGTCGCCGCCATTTTTGGGAAAATTTGATTCGTGCATCCGAAGTTTGCTAATTTTCGGATTCGTCGCGAATAGAATTTTTCCAAATCTTTGGAACGAATTCCACTTCGTCATGTTTGATTCGCTCATCTCTAATGAAGATACATTTAGTACTTTTCTATGTTAGTATTTTTTAAGCGATTTATACATTCATTTGGTGATGTTAGTAATATAGAGGCTTAATTTAAGAAAAAGTGACTCAAGTTATTAATTTTTTAACTTTCAACTGTGGCAGCTACATGATTAATTATCTGGGGTCTGCTACAGGTAAAAGCAAGGGGAGGTTATGGAGTAGAGAGTCATCATGGTAATTGTTACATATAAATGCAGCAGTCACGTCACTTGACCTAAAAGCCCTGAGGAAGTCCATTCGACATAGAACAGAGTCAGAAATGACATCACACAGCACTTGTAGGAGTTGATTGCACATTTGAGTACACAGCAACAGCAGCATTCATATATCATTAAAATATGTTTGATAGCTCAGTGCACCAGTGTGACTGCACTATAATGTGAGTGTTTGAATTATTGTTTTTAATAAAGTACCGTATTTCACGCTCCATAAGGCGCACCTAGGTTTTAGAGGTGGAAAACAAGAAAAAACATATTCTGAACCAATGGACTGCAGACATAGTACAGGAAATGACCAGAGACTGCAGACATAGTACAGGAGGTGACCAGAGACTGCGGACACAGTACAGGAGATGACCAAGAGACTGCAGACATAGTACAGAGGATGACCAGAGACTGTGGACAGTACAGGAGATGACCAGAGACTGTGGACACAGTACAGGAAATGACCAGAGACTGCGGACATAGTACAGGAGATGACCAGAGACTGCAGACACAGTGCAGGAGATGACCAGAGACTGCGGACATACTACAGGAGATGACCAGAGACTGTGGACAAAGTACAGGAAATGACCAGAGACTGCGGACATACTACAGGGGATGACCAGAGACTACAGACAGTACAGGAGATGACCAGAGACTGCGGACACAGTACAGGAGATGACCAGAGACTGCGGACACAGTACAGGAGATGACTGGAGACTGCGGACACAGTACAGGAGATGATCAGAGACTGCAGACACAGTAAAGGAGATGACATGAGACTGCGGATACAGTACAGGAGATGACCCGAGACTGCGGACACAGTACAGGAGATGACCAGAGACTGTGGACACAGTACAGGAGATGCCCAGAGACTGCGGACACAGTACAGGAGATGCCCAGAGACTGCGGATACAGTACAGGAGATGACCCGAGACTGCGGACACAGTACAGGAGATGACCAGAGACTGTGGACACAGTATGGGAGATGACCAGAGGCTGCAGACATAGTACAGGAGATGACCAGAGACTGCGGACACAGTATAGGAGATGACCAGAGACTGCGGACACAGTACAGGAGATGCCCAGAGACTGCGGACACAGTACAGGAGATGCCCAGAGACCACGGACACAGTACAGGAGATGACCAGAGACTGTAGACATAGTACAGATGACCAGAGATTGCGGACATAGCACAGGGAAAATACCAGGGACATAGTACAGATGAACAGAGACTGCAGACAGTAAAGGAGATGACCAGAGACTGCGGACCTTTGGGGAGGGAGGGGGAGCGGGTACCTGAATTTAACAGGTACCCGCCCCCACTTACGAAGAGTTGTCCTTCCCCTTCTTCCAGTGATCCATGACCATTCACAAAGCGCAGCGCTTCTCGCGCATGTGGAGTGGGCACTCGGCTGTCACAGAAGCCGGCGCGGGAAGACTACAGTGCTGGAGCGAGGAACAGGTAAGGTCCTGCAGGAGAGAAGAGCTGAGCAGCCAGCCCGATATTCTGACATGGTGGCGGCAAAAATACCGGACTGGCCGTTTTATATTCACTCCATAAGATGCACTGACATTCCCCCCCCCTTTTTTGGGGGGAAAAAAGTACGTCTTATGGAGCGAAAAATACGGTACTTGTTACGAAAAATACTATGGATTTGTTTTATGTTTTGCTTTGAGTACATTGCTGTAGAAAATAACTGTAATTCAGTTTGAATTTTGTGCATGATAGTCAATCAGCTGCTAATTTCAGCTTGTTCAATTAATCTTTGGCAATAAATCCAGGAAACTGACTGGTTTCTATGCAGAGCTGCACCAAATTTTGCACTCTACAGTTTTAGAAAATAACCCCAAAAGTGTCACAACTGATTACATGAAGTAGAAACATTGGTGGAGATTGCAGTAGTGGACACTGAAAGCATGACAGAGGGAATCAAACTAGATTGTGTGTGATAATAAAGATGATATTTGCATGTACTGACTGCACTATAGAGCTTTGCATGGAGAGATTAATGGCTTACATTTCAAGCACTATAGCCCTTTATTGTCTTGCACTACAGTATTTGTTAGCAGCACATAGCTCTTTATATTGTTGCATCAGGATGTGTATTAGTATTTTAGGTGTGTGTATATAGAGAGTTAATATTAGTGCTGCACTGATTGGGAAAGTACCATGCAGATTGTGTCACTTGACTATAAACTGCAACTGAAACCAGAACCTAGCACTGCAAGAAGGACTGTTAACCACTTAGCCACCATGCTGTGCAATACACACCAACCACAGAAAAAAATAGCTTAACAAATCTCAGATGAATAATGGGTCAACCATCAAATCACAAAATCATCAATTGATTTTGTCCCTTAGAAGATGCAGCTGGTGAGTGGAATGTTAGATTAAAACATTTTAATAATAAAATAATAATGCTTTGGAACAGAATGAAAATACACCACTTGAAAGCTATTTGTTACGACTAGGATGTAATGGTACACATTCCACTGCTGCTTCAAAGTCTATTAGCGCTGGTGCCTTCTTTTGTAACAACACAATTCCTTATCTCAGGGCTCCAATAACACCTAATTATTCCAATGTACTATCAGTAAAATGTGATGCAGAAAAACATTGTGATAATTCCCTTTCAATTAAGCCCTTCGATATGTGGGTACATTTACAAAGCCTTATCTACATTATATTTCTGCTTACTGACCCTCTATTTATAATCAGCTATCTGCTAATGAACCAATCTCAAGCTTTGGAAGACAGAAACCATTACATCCCTGTTCAGGCTTTAATATACTATATCAAAGGTGCAGAAGTTAAGCATTTAGCAAACTGATTAAATTGTGGAGTAAACAAAGGTTTTAATACTTGTATCATCCCCTATTTTGTTCAACAGTGAACAAGAAGTTGAGCAATCCGTAGGTGTATTCCTTGTCAAAAACGTAAGCAGAATTCAAGTTCACCTGCAAGGTATTCATCATTTCTGCCACTTTTCTCGCTTCACAAGGCTACAAAAAAAGACTGTGCCTGAACTCACATATGATATTAAAAAATACTAATCAGGGATAAATATATGAGTATGCCAACTCACTAATTTATAGTGCGGTCTCAGCAGTCCTAATAACACTCACTCCAAAAAATTAAAAGTGGTCACTATTAGGGCTTCTTAGTAGCTTCTCATGTTTACTTAAAAAATCTCTTGATACTCACAAAATCAAATGTATTGTGGGATACTTACCTAAAGAATGAGGCGTGGGTTTAACATATCATGCTGCAAATATAAACTTACCCCCCCCCCATTTCCCCATCTCCCCTCCTTCCTTTAAGCCATGTTTTACCACAATGCATTGTTACATGCCAACTGTGGTGTGATGTGTTGCGGCGCCATTCATTTTTTTGACTGGCACCCCAATGCACATTCCCAACACACCAAAACAGATAATCCGTGCATTGATGTGTGTTCGAGAAATAAAAATACAGGCACATATGTAAGTCAGTTGTAGTGTGTTGGCAGCCCATTCAAGGCCATTGAATCAATTGCCTTACTGTAATGCAAGTTAATGTGTGATGTAACATAGTTCACATATGAGTAATAATGTACCACACAGGGGCGGACTGACCATTTGGAAACTCGGGCACTGCTCGAGGGCCCGGGGTCAGTAGGGGGCCCCATGAGATGCCCCTGGTACCTTTTTCATAGGCTTTTTTGAGTTTGGACAAGGACACAGGGGCCCCATGATCCCCTATTGCCCGGGGGCCCCATGACTTGTCAGTCCACCCCTGGTACCACAGATATGCTAAACTGGTCTTTGAGCCTTACTTGGAACAACACTGCCCTGAAACAACATTTCTATCAGAAAGGCACCTTCAGACAGCTCCCCTTCTCCCCTCTCATTCAAGAATTATCACACATATCTATAGTGTTCCTGTCCATGTGTATTTAGTGTGTGTATAACACAACAGAATTGCTCCTCCTCATCATTCACTCAAGATTTGTTTTTTCTAATTATACTGTTTATTATTTCAGAGAGAGTAGGGAATGGTTAACACCTGTTTTTACCATTTGTGTCCCATTCCAGAGTTTTTTCTTTATTTCCTGTAGAAGCAACAGAAAGAGGGAAAATCTCCCCAATGTCAGGTACATGCCCTTTTAGTTTTCAATGTAACACGTGCCCCTATTAGATGTTTTTACCTCTATTCCATTTTCTGGTACAATTCAAAATCCTGGATTTTCCCTCACTTTCAGTTCCGGAAAGGTGGTCATAAAAACAGATAAAGAGAGAGCAAATCTACCCTGTGGGTACACAGGTTGGGTTTTAGATATACTTCAATTTATAAAAAATATATTTTCATAACTGCATGTCACTAAGAATATTCTGGACAAGTTTTCTAAGGGTCACATTTATAAAGTAGAAAAATGGCCTTACTTTCTCCATAACTCTGTTTAAAAGCACAAAGTTGTGCTTCACAAAAATGCTTAGCAATAATAATTTGGGCTCTTAATGATAAAATAATTGTGAATGTGAATTGAAATTTTTTGAAAAATGCCTGTGTGGTTAGGATCTGGCAGAAATAACCATCTTCAAAAGCACATGCCGCTACTTTTCTCAGGGTAGTGGTTCAGTAAATATATTTAATTTCTTTTTCCTAGACCTAGCATGCAGCTTATGGAGAATGTCTGCACCCATCATGTTTTTTTTTTGGATAGAGGAGCAAGCAAAGATTATTTTTTCCTGTCTTGCAGAAGAGATATTCCTTCACATCCAGTCCCAGAGATGCAAAATAAAGTGAGATGAACAACTCCCTAAAATAAAGGTATTTTCCCTCTTAGACCATTCTCATAGTAAGTTTTACCAAGGCATGATTTTCCTTCACTTCTTGTTCTGGCGACTAGTCTAAAAGTTTGGATAAGTCTTTATGCTCTCTCTCTCGGTAACAGCAGTCACAGGACAAATATAGAAGATGAATCTCCCCAGTGGGAAGAATGCAATACAGAGGGTGTAATCCTTCCCCACTCCATACATTACTAAAAATGATTTGCCTTTACATAGAGATTTGAAATAAACACCATTGCTACATGCTTATGCTCAGCAACCAGAAAAGTGTTTGCATAATGCAAGCAATCATCAAGAACAGAAACAGTTATTATCTATGAAAAATTGTGGCTTGTTAAAGTATCAAGGACAAAGCTTTAATTATACATAACATGTATATCAACAAATCATTTGAATGGATCCTGATTTCTGGGTCTGTGATGATGAAAATCAGCTGTATTACTAATAGAGACAAAAGTGTAGCAAAGATTGATTATACACCTATCCATTTTATGCAATCTAGTTTGGATTCAGTCATTAATAGCCCCCATCGTTATTAGCATACAAGGAATTGAGCACCCGTCTGATGGGCAAGCTAAATGCCATTAGAAGAGATAGAATAATTGTAAATAGACTTCAGTTAGTACAATAACAATTGCTGAAAGGAGTAAGATACTAATTTAGTATAGTACTTTCAATTTAACTCTTTTTTTGGTACATGGTATCCAATTAATCCTTTATGATCATTGTTTTATGTAGAATCATGTGACTAAAATGTATCTAAACCAAAGAACAAAAAAAATTTATATACTGCAGCTTACCAGTCCTTAGATATGATTGATATATTAGTTTTATTTTTTAGGCTTTTGATTCTTTATTTTAACCAGGTGATAAGCTCAGTAAGAAACTTCCTGTCCTAGGGTGACAATGCTCCATGCTGTACAGTATCTATGGAAAAGCAGAATTATCACCCTACTACACAATTGTTTTGTAGGTCATAGTGATAGATGAGAACCATGATAGCTAATAACAGTTAATTGTCAGTACAGGACGTTCTCAGTTCACAAGAACTCTGGAAGGATCAAAAGGTATCATTTTCAGATGTAACAAAGCATTTTTAAAGGTATATTGAAAAAACCAAAAGAGAGCAATGGGATAAGTTAATTTTTAGGGCTTACATACACTCACCGTCCACTTCATTAGGTACACCTTGCTAGCACTGGGTTGGACCCCCTTTTGCCTTCAGAACTGCCCTAATTCTTTGTGGCATAGATTCAACAAGGTGTTGGAAACTTTCCTCAGAGATTTTAGTCCAAATTGACATGATAGCATGAGTTTCTGCAGACTTTTCAGCTGCACATCCATGATGTGAACGTGATTCCACCACATCTCAAAACTGCTCTATTGGATTTGGTGAGAGTGGAGGTCATTAGAGTACAGTGAACTCACTGTCATGTTCAAGAAACCAGTTTGAGATAATTTGAGCTTTGTGACGTGGTTCATTATCCTGCTGGAAGTAGCCATCAGAAGATGGGTACACTGTAGTCATAAAGGGATGGACACAGTCAGTAACAATACTCAGGTAGGCTGTGGCTTTTAAGTGATGCTCAATTGGTACTAAGGAGCCAAAAGTGTGCCAAGAAAATATTCCCCACACCATTACACCCCCTC